ATAAGAGAAATTAAAAAAAATAAGTAATGGATGTGTTTCCTTAAAAAATAGAAAAATTATTAAAAAGAATAGGTAAGGAAGTATTTTCCTAAAAAATTAGAAGAAATATTAAAAGAAATAGGCAAATGAGTGTTTCCTTAAAAAATAGGGAAATTATTATAAGAATTAGGTAAAGGAGTGTTTCCCTAAAAAATAAGAAAAGTAGTAATAAAAGTGTTTTCCTTAAGAAAAATAAGAGAACAAATAATGTGAGTGTTTCCCTAAAAAAATAGAAGAACAAGTAATTGGTGTTTCCCTTAAGAAAATAAGAGAATAAGTAATGAACGTTTGTCCATAAAAAAATGATAGAATAAGTAATTAATATGTTTTCCTAAAAATAGTATAATAAGCAATGAAGATATTTTCCTAAAAAATAGGAGAACAATTCATAGGAATGTTTCTTTTAAAAATAGAAGAATAAGTAATGAGAATGTTTACTTAGAAGAACAAGTAAAAATGAATATTTTCCTAAAAAATAGTAAAACAAGTAATGGAAATATTTTCCTAAAAAAATAAAAAAATAAGTCATGAAAATACTTTTCTAAAAGAATTGGAGAACAAAAATTGTAAAATAAATCAAGTATTGTTTAGGAGAACAAGCAATGAATAACAATTTTTTTAAAAAAATCAAAATAGCTAAAAGACACCTGATAAATTAAATCAATTTTTTTAAGTATAGTTTCGTTCATGAATTGTTTCTTAAGATAATATGCTAGCAATTTGGGGATTTCTTTTATAATGAGATGAGCTTCGTAAAGTAATGTATGAAAATCGTTTTTTAAATAATGATGAATGAAAAATTCTTCATGGGAAATACTTCTTAGAAGTGTGTTCAATGAATACTTTTTAAAGAAATATATTTTTTTAAATGTTAGGAAACACTTATTAAATTAATATAGAAGTTCTTATAAGAAAAACATCTAGGTTCATTATAACTTTTTTAAAATACATTTTAGAGAGTGTATAATAAATGGCTTTTGAAGTAGCATGTTGAATTTTTTTTTTTAAAAGAATGCTAGATAACAAACATTTCTTAGGATAATGATAATGTTTTTTGAGCTATTGCACAAGATGTTTTTCATAATAGAAAGTATACAAGAAATTTCATTTGTCAATTGATTTCTTTTGGAAGAATTTTTACATAAGAGTAAAGTAGTAATAATAAGAAAGTAATATATAAGACTTTAATGGTTTTTTTTTTTTTTTTTTGAAGTACTTATCTATAAGGTAATGGAGTAGTAGAAAATAATATATCAATCAATTTCATTTAAAAAAAACTTGTATATGAGAGTAGCATGAAACTTTCTTTTTTTAGAAGAGTTATAGAAGAAACTCAAGAGATCACAACATCAAACTTTTGTTTATTGGGAAAAGCTTATAAATGAGAATGATGCAATGTTACAAAATTTTCTCTTTGAAAAATTTGATATGTGATAGTGAAAAAAAATAGTACAAAACCATAAGACTTTTTATTGGAAGAACTTGTACATAAACTAAATAAAATAGTAAGATTTAAGATGTTTTGCTTCCTTTAGAAAGATTTTTTAGGAAAATTTTCAAATTTGGAATTAATTGTTCTTTCAAATTTCTATCATCACATGTATGCACTATGCATTTTTGCTCCACTATATTCCAAAGAGTTTTTAATTGTTTCATATGCATATTATTTTCGTAGCAAGGTGTGAACTTCTTAACATATAAAAACTATGTGATATAATAATATGTATATAATGTAGTACTCATGAGATTTTTCAATTTTGATGTTTAAAAAGTCTCGATAATATTAGCATTTCATTGTAATTGTAATATCTTCACTTATGAGGTAGGTAAGGTGTATAATAGTAACACTAATATAATTGTATATGTGGCCACCCTCGACTTCATATTAGGGAGATAAGTTCTCAACCCCAATACAAAGGAGATGTTTAATCCAAATAAAAGCGATGAAACTACGGGTATAAAGTATCAAAATGATTTAAATCATAGTACTTAAAAGATTGAGGCCAAGAAATAAGTGATAAAGTCGTTGCCAATAATTTTATTTTTAATTTATAAGAAGAAAATTTTCAACTTGGTACCAAAGAAGCATTGAATAGCAATACAAACAATAAAGTTGCGGCCAAAAAATGAGTGATATAGCTACTGCCAAAAAATAATTTTCAATTTGGAGATAATTCTCAATTGGTACTAATGAGGTTCATTTGATAGCAAATATCTACAATAGAGTAGCAGTCAAAGAATGAGCGATAAAGCTACAACCAATGAACTATTCTCAATTTCCTACTAGGGAGGTGAATTCTCAACCTAAAAAGAAAGAGATCAAACTTCACTATATATTGAACAGATAATTTTTTCTCAAATTAGTACTAAGGAGATTAATTTGATTCAAAATAGGAAGTGTTAAATTACAGCCAATAAAAGTGGATTTAACACAATGGTTATATCAACTTTATATCTTAATTTGATTTAGAAGATTAATCTTATGTATAATTAAATAAAACTTTCAATATAGTTTAGGGTAATGATTTTTTTTTCTTAAAGTTATAGAAAGGCAAATATTTTCAACACTTTTATAATATTTGATAAATGAGCATGCATTAGAATAGATATTTGTTGAAATGATATGCGTTTTTCACTTTTCTCATGTTAAGCTTTTTTTTTTTTATTATTGATTGAAATTCTTAAACGTATATGCATTAAATGATACTAGTAAAGAAAATGCTTAGAAAGTTGAAAATAGTAAGAGGTAAAGATTAAATATTTGCAATTGATTAAACTTCTAATATGAAAGAGTAACGTTTTAACCGGATTGTTGCTTTACCATTGAATATTTTTATAGCATTAGGAATTTTCATATTTGGTAGTCGCTCATATTGTTCGATAGTGCAAATGTTTATGGTAAAGTTTTACCTAATGTAATTGTTTTTCCCCAGCGGAATCATTAAAATGCAAACGGGTTCTTTGTTAAGGCGAGGAAATGTTACAGACAAGTAAAACAAGATGTACTAAAAGATGACGAAGAGGAAGATTGAAGTAGACCTTGAATATTAAGCACATCGGTAGATGGTGGTAAGTAATGAAGCAAAGAGAGTAGAAAAGAAAGTAAGGCTTAAAAAAAGATTTAGAAAAATAAGATTATTGAGACAGTTTGAGAGAAAATGATGAAAAGTCTGCCAAAGTCTAAAAGTTTCCAAAAGTCCTTTCATTGAACTCTAGAAACTCCTATTTACAGGTTTCGAGAATATGAGTTACATGTCTTGAGTATTGAATAGTAATAATTGTGAAATTAATAGTTATAAAATGTATTAAATATGAATAATAGTGAATAATGAGGAAATTAGCTATTACAAAAGGTATTAATGTATTGGTTAATGAAAGTCTAATTAGTTTTTGGTGATAGATATAGTAAATATAAAAGTTTATTATTTGTTCTGAAATAAAAAGAGAAGCACTCATATTTCAAGAAAAGGTTAAGAGAAAACCTCTTAACTATCTTCATATTTGATCCATCAAGCCAAACTATCTGAAACATCCCAATAGTGAATTAACTCAAGAATCCTGTCATATTCAGGCATTATTTTCACTTATTCTTTTGGTGAAATAACATTCAGTAAAGTGTCTTTTATAGAATAACTCTTAGTAAATCAACTTTTGATGAAATAATTTTCAATAAAGGTGTTACTGTTGTTTCTTAAGGAAGTTATTATGAGAATAGCTATTTTGTAAAGATATTGTTTTGTGAATGACGTATTCTGTAAATAATTGTTTCGTGAACAATTGTTTTGTAAAAGAGTTATTTCACGAATAACTATTTTATAAAATATTTTTTATTAAAATAATCTTATTACATATTATGATATATCTTAAACTTTAATAATTTTAAAAAAATATATAAAAATAAAATATTGATAACCACGATAAAGTATTTACAAAAGTTAAAAAAAGGAACATAATAAATATGGTTCCACCATTTTACCCAAAATTCATCTCCTAAGAAGCACTCATAGCCAATGAGTCTCTTTCAATTCTTATGATTAATTAATTGTTCTTCATTTGAGCATTTAATAACTGTCAAATATGAACACAAGTTTTTTGAGACCATGCCATTGGGATTTGGCTGCTTGTCCCTCATTTTATTCTGGTTTTTTTTTTTTAACGTGTTCTGTTAACAATATTCACAAATATATATTATTTGAAATTTCATTTGGAATTTAAGTTTAGATATGAGCGATGGACTTATATATTAACTAAATTTCACATAAATGTAAACAAATTTAAAAATAAAAATAAATTAAGTAAAAATAATCAATAATAAATCACATATCTCATAATAATTTGTTATTTTGCTCATAAATACTAACATATATATAAATACTTAAAATAAATAAAAAACTCACCTATGTCAATATATTAAAAAGTTTATTTCCTAACCGTTGGAGTATATTTATAATCAATGAAAATTAAAAGGTTTAATCAACATAAAAAACATAAAATTCGCCTAATAAAATCTATTTAAGTCTTGCACATTATTTTAATGTAAATAATAATAATAAATATACATATATATTTATATGGTGTAATACTATATTTAATATATATTTTTTTGTTTAAAAAAAATTCAAAATCCTATTGCAAGAACGAGCGGAGAAGCTTGGTTAAATTAAGCCTCTATATTTTCTTAAAGGTTTCCGCGATCACTAGACCACGAAGCAGAAGACTAATTAATTTTTTTTTGCTAAATTTATGTTGTGGTTTCGACTTTAGAGGCGAATCTGAGGGCAGGCATGGGCCAGGCCCAAAAATTTTTATACCATTATTGTACAGTTTTGGGCCCACCAACCATAATTCTCGGCCCTCTTTCCCCCTTTGCTTCAGTGTTTGGCCCCTAAGGCATAGTGAGGCTTCGCCTCTAGTTCTGGTGGTAGCAAAAATTCCGTATATATGTATCTTTCTACGGTGGATATACGTAGTTCATCAAAGATAAATTTTCTTTACTCTAAGAAAAATCAACCGAGCCCTAAAATAAAGTGCTGAGAAAAAAAATTCCCTTTTCGGCTTTGGCGGGCAATTGGTAAAGCCCTTTGAACTCTGCGACACTCTCATCCCCACTTCAGGTATTGAGCGAAAAAAAAAAAGAAAAACTATTTTTTTCGCTCTTTTTGCATTTTTCCATGATCGATTTATCATTAATCTGTTTATTTTTGTATACTTCTAAAGGACTGTTTGCACTTTTCTCAAGCTTTTTTTATTTTAAAAATAAATTTTATATTTTACACTATATTATTGCTTAATTATTTGTTTTTTGTGCGATTATTATTTGGTTAGAAAATTTGAAGTAAAATGTGAAAGTTTTTGTAAGAAAAAGCCCCAAAAAAGAAGCTTTTTTTTTGTTTTTTGGTTTTTGGTTTAGAGTATCTTTGATTTAGCAAAACCCTTAGATTTATTATGCCAAGGAAAACATGAAAATGGGAATGAATATGTTTAAATTGGTGAATTATATGGTTAAAACTTTAAATTCTATTTTTTTTCTGATGCCATTGACGGAGATTCAATGTGAGATTTTTACTTTTTTTTGACGCAATCGAAGAGTGAAAAATAATAAAATTTGGATAGAATTTATTCAATCGCTGGCTATTTATTTATTTATTTTTCGTTTCGGTTGTTTCATTTAATCGTTTCATTTCCGTTGCAGGAGAATTGACATTGGTCGGCTTTCTGATCAATTCGTTTTTGAAGTATCTCTTTTCATTTCATAATCAGAAAAAAAGAATGCTGCTATGAATTCATGGCCTGTTATCAGTCTTTGAATCTTCAAGCTCATTCCTTATGGAGGAATCTTCATTGCTTTCGAAGAAACTTCTCAAGGACCCTGAGGGTTCGAAATAACTTATCAAGTTTTAAGAAATTCTATGTGGTTCGCCCTTCGCCCTTTCAAACCATCAAGGTACTGCTCAGCTATATCTGTTGGACAAAGAGAATAAAAACCTTAAAGAGGTCATTTTCTTGTTATTGGCCTTATACTGTTGCAGGTGTCAAGCATCTTATTTTTTATTAGAAAACATGACAATTATTTGAATTATAGTTGATACATCATTCTTATTAGACACATGTAGCCTATTATTATATATTTGCTTTGATTATACTCATTGAACAAATGTTGGCTTTGAGGCCAATCATGGCCTGCTTGTACAAACATTGTCGCAGATATAGGTTAAAAATTTTTGAACTTAGGCTTTGAAACTGCAAAATACCATTTCTTATGGAAAATGAGAATAAATAATTGCTGGCGAACATAAAACAGAGTACAGTTAGTAGCATGCATCAGCTTGATGATTGACAGGTGGCTAGGGTTTTTTAGTTTTTGCACTCCTGTTTTTATCTTGGAAGATAATTGATAGATTCCTTGTAATACTATCTTGAAGTTATGCAACTATGGCCTGATGTTATTTGTGCACTTTTTCTTTGACAGGGGTACTGTAGTTTATCTACTTTACCTGTTGCTATTCATGCAGCTCCCCATGCCAATGCTGTGATTCCTACAAAAAGGGAACAAATATTGGACCAAGAGGCAGCTCTTGGTAGAGCAAACCTTCAAGAAACAGCAGCGAATGCTAATTTCTCTAATGGTAGAGTAATGCTTATTGATGGCACATCAGTCATTTACAGGGCTTACTACAAACTTCTAGGTAACTCATGTTGCTCCTGTTTTTCGCTTTCTGTAAAAGGTTTTATTTTCATCATACTGAAAGTAGTGTTACTTTTGTTTTCTTCTTTTCTGCTACTAGTCTTAGGTGTTTCTTTACAGCTGCCGCTTTTTGTTTTTGGTGTCAAATAGTAAGGCTCCGTTTAGGCTTTTTTTTTTGCTTTTTTTTAAATAGAAAAGTTAAAAGCAAAAATAAAAAATGAACTAAAAACAAGGGACAAATAGCGAAAAGCAAAAGCACTAACTAAACGGAGACTAAATGATTTCTCAAGCAAAACATGAAAAAACAAAAAGCTTACACATATCATTTGTTTCCAAAAAGTGGAATAGTCATTGTAGATAGCTTCCAACATAATTATACTTCTATATAGCCTAAAGCTAGGTAGTTTAAATTTCATTTTACAAGTTAATTTTCTTTCTGTTTTGTGCCTCATATGTTACTTACACTGATTGGTCTTTTGTTTTCCCCCTATCTGTTCATGTATGGTTGAGAGTAGCAAAACTGCACCATGGGTATCTATCACATGCTGATGGCAATGGAGATTGGGTTTTAACTATATTTACTGCTTTATCACTTGTAAGTTATATATATGTATATATATGTTATTAAGGAAAGTACTTGCTTCTCTTTCTGTTGTATTTATGCTGAAAGCATTCATTTGATGTATTCCTGTTGCTTGCTGCTATCAATTTTAGTTTATCATGAGATTACATGGTGGAATCATGCGATTGCTACTGTATGCATTATTTTCAGAATGAAAAAACTTGATTCTTTGATAAGCTATCAGAGGTGGCATAATTCTTGTTAATGGTTCCAGGAGATCTGGAAGTCGCATTTTATGCACTGTGTTTGTTTCATGGAAAATAACAACTCCAAAGGAAAATATATTTCTTAAAAAGCAATTTTCAGAACTGAAAATTTTATCTTTTTTAGATGACATTCTTAAAGACATTTTCTGTTGTTTGGAAAGTTATGAAAATCTTGAAATTTTATTTACTTGTTTTGAATCTTTAAAAATTTCAAATTTCATCTTTTTCATATTGGTCTAAGGCATTTCTAATTCTTTTATCTTGCAGATAATTGATGTTCTGGAATTTGTTCCTTCACATGTAGCGGTATGTATTCTTTTTATTTTGGTTTCTAAAATTTTTTTGTCTTTCTCAATAGGATTTTTAGAGATGCTGGTCTGTTATGTACTTCACAATTGTTCCAGATTGGCTTCAAAGCATCTTCCTGATATAAAGTTTGTATTATAATTTGGAACTTGGAAGTTCTTGAAACAACCGGAGTCTGACATTATTGATGGGAAGACATAAAGACAATTGTGTTAATAGAAGGCTTTTTCTAAGACTAAATCTTTCTTACTAGAAAGATCTGAAGTTGATAAAAATGATTTTTAAATATGATGTCCATCTGTTTTGGTGCCATATTTATATAGCAAATTACTTGGTTAAAAGTATGGGCCACTATGAAGTTTAATAGTACAGAACATTTTCAACCTTTAACCCTGAACTGTCATTGTTTGACCTCAAATTTGAAATCTGCCTATTTGGTTCAGTTCTGCAGTCAAAACTTTTCTTCATTGGGGGGCCAGGGGAGGCAAACTAAAAAGCTCATATTCTGATTTCATTTATCAAACATTAATGACTTACTAATTTGTTGGTTTGAATGGCCAATAGTTTTATTAGCTTTAGGCTTGATTATATACTAATCAGCAAGGATTGGTTTTATATTAGTATCCTGTAAAAAATTAATCTTACTCTTCTTAAGTGGCAGCTGATCTACCATGTCAGTATACCTATTGCATTTGACTATGTAGAAATGCAGATATTTTGGTCTAATATTCATCCTTAGGGTATGAACTAGTTTAGTGAGTTAATTGAATTATGGTTTTCTACTGGAATACTGGCATTAAGATGGCCTTTGGAGCATGTATAACTGAAAAATATATCAGCACTCCTTTTTCTTTGAAAGGAAAAAGCTAGGCGGAAAACTTATAAGAAGTTCTTTATGTTAAGCCCCTTAATTTTTAAATATAAACATTTTAAATTGCTTACTCAGCCATAAGGCAACTTCAAAATTGGAAAACTAAGGGACTTAATGTAATGAGTTTTATGAGTTATTCTCAAAAGTTACCACACATGTATATGGAGTATTTTTGTTGACTATTCAGTAGCTTTCTCTCTTGGAAATTGTTCCTTGCATAATGTGCATAGTCTTTTAAGCTGTATTGTTGGAAATTTCTTTTCTATGGTTTTTGCTAGGGTGTCCTTAGGTATTCCTTGCTGTTATTTTTATCTTATGGCTTGTCTTTGCAGTTGTTTTTCATTTTTGCTTTACTGTTCATAGCTGTATGATTTTCCAAGTACCTAGTGTTTCTTACCCGCTTTTCCCCTTTCTCTTGCAGGTGGTGTTTGACCATGATGGTGAGATTTAAAGTTCAGTAATACTTGTTTTCCTTGTATTTTGAATTTTTAGATCACTTCATTTGCATGCTCTCAACTCACCAAATAATTTACTTTTAATCCTTATATGTGTTACGTACATACTATTTAAATAAATCTTTAATCTTTTTGAAATGGATTTTGAATGAAACTGATTTCAACTAGTTTTGCTCCTGCTGCCCATGGGAACATTTTCCGTTGTTTAATCTGTTTTTGTTTCATATAGATTGCTGTTGCTGGTAGGACTGTTATGTTAAGGTCTTTGGAAGAAACCTAAACTGGACTAATCATATTGGGCTGAATTAAACATAGTACTCAAAACCTAGCTAAAAGGGTGAAAATTGGTTCAGTTACGATTATTATCTGAAAATTCCAAAATTATGATAAAACATTCAATTTTATTATTTAATAAATTATAAAAAAATTTGTGAGACAAATTTGCGCTTTGGTTTGATTTAAGTTAATCATGTTTTAATAACAATAACTAAATCAAACTGAAGAGTAGAAAAAATTAGATACATCTGAGTTGACCTATTTAAACTTATATATGCTTGGTTTCTGCTTCAGTTGGTCCTTGCCTTCATTTGAAAACCCTAACTTAAACAATCTAAAGCATTGGCTCTGTTGAACTATTGGACACCTTTATATTCATTTTAATTACACTGTCCTAAGATTTGTTCCCTAGGTAATCCTGTTAACCATCTTTAGTGCACAACTTCTATGGCAAACATGCTGATATGCACTTATACCTGTTTGTAGCCCTACCTGATCTCTTTTTTGTGCTATCTCATGCTTGTTTAGTATTTCAAATTCTGTTCTAAAATTGAGGCCCTTCCCTATATTTTATAGTCTTTAAGGTATTGAGTGGATGTTGACTACCAAAGAAGGGTTAGCTTTATATCAAATTCCATTTAAATATGTAGAGTATCTATTATACTTTCTCTAATGCCATTTATTTCTCCATGGAAGATTTTGCTTCTCCTTTGTGTTGCCATGTAAACCTATATTTCCCTTGGGGGTTATTAAATTCCTAATTTTCATAGTTTAACAGAATACATTTTCTGGTGCAGTGCCACTTGTAAAAGATTTTGGTTAGGAGATAAATTTTGGATCTCTAATAAAAAAAAAACTTCAAAGTAGTCTTAATTTTAAATAATTTTGTGTGCTAATTTTATTGGGTTGATTTTTTTCTACACGCATCTACCATGCTTTCATACACACATCTACATATGTATGTGGGATGTACTTATATGCATATTTGTGTATGTGAATTCCAATAGTACCAAGTATAGCCTCAAATTTCAGATTATGTCTACTTGGAGATGAGACCTACTTAGAAACTCTGACTAACTTTGATGTTTTGGAGAAAATTTTAAGTGTCAAATGTGTTCTTTAGTGATTGCTGGTGTTGTTTGTGTAGAAGTTCTTAAATTTTCTTTCAATTATTTAGGGCAATGTGTTACATAAGTATATTTTCTTTTTAAAAGGTTCTCTCTATCTCTCTTGCACACTGATTCTCACCTTTTAGCATGTTGATATCAAGGGACTTGGAATTCATTCACCCACACTAAGCTTGACAGCCCCCGTTAGTTCTTCTCTACTTTTCACTGTTGAAGCAAAGACAATACATTTTTTAAGGCTGAAATTTCACTGGTTTTTGTGCCTAAAAGTTCTTTTGTATGCTAAAACCTTTGAATGCTTATGCCATCTAAGTGTAAAGGTCTTTAAGTTTGAATTAAAAAGAGATCTCCTTGTATGAAGATCTGAAACTCTTTCCAATCTTAACTTTGGTTTCCTGAGTAGATAAGTTTGGTGGAAATAACTAATAGGAGCTTTCCTGAGAAATGGTTACAAATTTGAAATTAATTGTACTAATGATTTAATACGAGAGGTAGAAATATTGTCTAAGGCTAGAGTTTTCTATTTGTGCACAAATATTGTTTGAAGCAGTTGATGAAATCTAAACAATAGTCTTGTCCATTGAAGTTTTTTTATGGCATTTTTTGAGATGCCCTAGATGGTCAGAATATAACGTTTTAATGCTATTTGAAACTATTCTGGATTGCTATGTATCTACATTAGTTTATTTTTGGGCGATTAATGCTCTCAATGTGCTGTATATGGTCATCTAGTATGATGATCCCTTTTGTAGTCAGTGGCATGGAGTTCCATGGTTTCTGAATCTCTTCCTTTAAGCATTTTTTTTTTAATAAAAAGGCCTCTTCTTTTCAGGAATTCCATTTGGTCATACTTCTATTTCTTCAAAAGATAATGTCATGGCAAAAGGTATGCTTTTTGATGCAATTTTTGTTCTATTGTGTGGTCAAGTTGCTGAGGGTAGACTTATCTCTAAGAAATCACTTGTGAAACTTGGAATAATATGAGTTGGTAAAACTGGGTAAATAAGGTGCAGCTTCGAGGTGTTGAGCGAAACATGTGTGTTTATACACTAGCACACTCATACACACATTACATATGTACATACTATATTAGGGTACTAAAGGCCAAATCTGCCCATGTAGAAAAGAAGAGCAGATCTTTAACTCCCTGGATCTTTTTGAGAGGTAGTGTTTGCATGCAGTAGTTGTTTAAAGTGAGAATTCTGGAGTCTGATATGCCATCAGCACATATTGTTTTGATAAGCAACAGTGATGCTTGTGTCACTGGGAATTGCTGATTCTTTAATTATGTGTCTTTTCTTTTTTTTGAATAAGCATTGGGGTTTTTGACATTTTTGCACAACCAACCTTTATCACCAAATCCTCACCATTTTGCCCTTCAGCATTTGCTACAAGATTATCTTTTTGTTGCTTTATTCTAAATACCAATGCTTCCTTACGCTGGTATAAATTTCTTTGTAAAATGCATGTATTACACCCTTTCAGCCAACTGAAAAACAAAAATGAATGAAATATAAACATATAAGAAGAAATCTCTAGAATAAAACTATTTTATTTTTCTATATTTTTCTCATTACAGTGCTAGAATTGCATGAAAATATATAGGCTAAAAACTGAATGTTCTCAGCCTTAAAACCAAAGATTTTCATGCATTAAAACAGCTAATCAAAGGGCTAATTTACTCTCTACACATAATAGGAAAATATTTAAGGGATTGGGTGTAATTACCCAAATCACTCCTTATTCTAAAAATAAGAGACTTAACTAAAATAAACATTCAACTAATCAAGTAATAATGAAGATTAGATTTCCATGCTCCCCCTAAAGTTGGGTGATAGATGTCAATCATGTCTGCGGTTTGGAGACATTTGGGAGTATAAACTAGTCTAACAATTCCTTCCTCTATCTTCTCTTTGATGAAGTGACAATCAATCTTCACAACCTTGTTCTATCATGATGAATAGGATTCTTTACTATACTTATGGTGGCTTTGTTGTCACAGAATATCTTTGTGGATTCTTCTGCAAATACCTTTAACTCCCTTATTAATCTTTTTAGCCAAATTCCCTTACATATGCCACGAGATGTAATTCTAAACTTAGCTTCTGCACTACTTCTAGCCACCGCAGATTGCTTCTTCCTTTGCCAAGTAACCAAATTTTCCCACACATAGGTACAATAACTAGTAGTTGATCTTCGGTCAATAACGAATCTAGCCCAATCAACATTAGTGCAAATTTTAACATTTTGGCATGATATCTTTTTAAAAAATAACCCTTTGCCAAGACTTTTCTTTAGGTATTGTAAGATTCGATACACAGCTGTCAAGTGTTTCTTGGTTGGGTTGTTCATGAATCTGCTTACCATGCTAACTGAAAAACTGATATTTGTCTTCTATGAGAAAGGTAGATGAGTTTCCCAACAAGTTTTTGATATTTGCCCTTATCTTTTGGTGGACTCCCTTCTTCCATTCCGACTTTATTCATTGTGTCCATAGGGGTGTTCGCAGGTTTGCATCCAAGCATTCTGGTTTCTTTCAATAAGTCTAGGACATACTTACGTTGTAAAACAGAGATGCCATTCCTTGCCAAGAAAATATTTTAGGTGTCCCAAATCTTTGATTTCAAATTCTTTTGCTAGGAGGTTCTTTAGGTTGCTAATTGCCAAGAAAATCTTCTAGTAAGAATAATGTCATCCACATAGACAATAAGAATGGCTATTTTTCCTTTAGGTGAATGTTTGACAAACATGGTGTGATCGGTCTGGCATTGTGAAAAACCATACTTTTTTACCACTTTTGTTAGTCTATCAAACCATGCATGTGGGGATTGTTTGAGACCATATAAGGACTTTTGAAGCTTACATAACTTGCCAGAATTGTCCTGGTTTTTGAGTCTTGGAGGGATTTCCATGTAAACTTCTTCTAAGTCCCCATTAAGAAATGCATTTTTGACATCTAGTTGATGGAGTGGCCAATCTAGATTTGTTGCCAATGATAATAACACTCGGATTGAATTAAGTTTAGCAACCGGAGCAAATGTATCCTCAGAGTCAACACCATAAGATTGAGTAAATCCTTTTGCAACAAGGTGAGCTTTAAATCTGTTAATACTTACCTCTGCATTGTGTCTGACAGTAAAAATCCATTTGCACCCAACTGGAATTTTCCTTTTGGTTAGTTCTGAAATCTCCTATGTTTTGTTCTTTTCTAGGGCTTTGATTTCTTCCAAAACAGCCATCTTCCATTTTGGTTGCATGAGTTCTTCATGAATATTATTGGGAACCTACATATTGTTTAGTGTGGTAACAAAAGCCCGATAAGTAGGTGATAAACCTTCATAAGAAACAACATTATGGATTGCGTGTTGAGTACATGATCTCACATTTTTTTTAGGGCAATTGGTTGATCAAGATCATCAAAAGATTCAATTGAATCAAATTCAGTAAGAGTGTTACCTGTGTTGGTTTCAAGTATCTTTGAAATCGGTTCAGATTCTTGGTTTTGCTTTGAAGGTGTACATTCTTATAGATCCTTCTGAGTTTTATGTCTTCTTGAATAGACAATCAATTCTTTGTTTGTTTTCCCTGGTGCTAGAGCCAAAGGTTACGGATTCGAGTCTCAGTGGTATTGGTGGAGAGAGATTGTTGGCAGATTGAAAGTTGATCGCGGCCATCAACTTCATGTGCTTGAACATTGGTATCAAAGTGAAAGGTTCAATTTGGATGCAACGAGTATATGATAATATGCAGAAGTGAAATGCCTAAATGGGTGATAGTATTGAGTCAACCTAGAATTCAAGCTTGATGGGGCATTGAGACAACCTAGGTGGCAAGGTTAAGTGTTGTGATCGGGCCTAAAAACGCACTAAAGATGTGAGGTTGTTTGGCCCAAAGGAGGTGTTAATAGGGGACCTCACTTGCACGGGGGAGCCAAAGTGGGACTTGATTAGAACTCATAAGGGAATGAGGAGATTATTGGGATAAGGTTCACATGTGAGTAAAGAATCTCACGTCACAAAGAAATCTGAATGAGATGTCCTCTCTCTATATATATATATATATAAATAAAGGATCCAAAAACCTAATAGCTCAAGTTTTTAGGCTCAAGTGATGTTGTATGTATTGGTTCTTTGGTGTGCTTCCGTAGGCTTCAAGTGTGGCAAATCTCCCAACAATTGGTATCAGAGCATGATTTGAACTTTTGAAAATTTTCACTTGGAGTCCACGGGAGCACACTAGAAAGCTCATGCATATATGTTGGACATCACTTGAGCCCCAAAGCTTAAGCTATTGGGTTCTTGAATCCTTCACATATTTATATATAGGACATCTTATTTAGATTTCTTTGTGATGTGGGATTCTTTGCTCACATATGAACCTTATTCCAACAATCTTCCTGTTTATTTGTAAGTTTTGATCAAGTCCCATCCCGCTTGCGAGTGAAGTCCCTTATCAACACCTCCTTTGGGCTAGACAACCTCATATCTCTAGTGCGTTTTTAGGTTCAGTCACAACACTAACTCTTGCCACCTAGGTTGTTTTAGTGCTCCTTCAAGCTTGCACTCCGGGTTAACTTAATACTATTGCCCATTTAGGTGTTTTGCTTCTGCATATTATCCTATACTTGTTGCATCCAAATTGAACCTTTCACTTTGATATTGGTGTTCGAGCACATGAAGTTGATGGATAGGGTCAACCTTTGATCTGCTAACAATCTCCCCACAGCAATGCCACTGGGACTCGAATCCGTGATCTGACTCTGATACCATGAAGAAATATCTAGAATAAAACTATTTTATTCTTCTATATTTTTCTCATTACAATGCTAGAATTGCATGAAAATATGTAGGCTAAAAACTGAATATTCTCAGCCTTAAAACCCAAGATTTTCATGCATTAAAACAGCTAATCAAAGGATTAATTTACTCCCTACACATAATAGGAAAATATCTAATGGATTTGGTGTAATTACCCAAATCCCAATTCTTCTCTTCTAGAGCTCTAATTTTCTGGACCATGACTTGATAAATCCCTACCTTTTTTCAAATGTAAATACAAATAATGCCACTCTAATTGACTTCCTCACTCTCTTCATATCTTGTGAATAAGTACTCCTATTGATTGCTTTTGCTTTCATTTCTGTTACTTTTTCACAATCATGTCACTCCATTTGAAAGCTTATCTCCAATATGTTTGCTGATTCCTTTTTATGGGTTGCAGTCCATATAATTGTGGTCCTTCTGAAGGCACCACCTTTCAGGCAATATTATGATGCCTTTAATTTCTAACTTTAGGAGATTTCAACACAGGGATTTAGATTTTTAGTTGAACATTGCTATGACTATGACTTGGAGAAAGACTTTAAGAAGTATGAATTTCTTGAATGACAGAGAATACTTGCTTAATTTAAATTCTCATTTACTGGAATAAAAATGCATATGCCTAAGAAATATGTCTGCTAATTAACATAATTTATATGTAAGTGAAGAAAGAGCAGTGGCCATTTTAACCAATTACGTAACTGTAATAAAGTGTATAATATGTAATTGATGGATTGGTGTCATCTATGAAGTTTAGGCATAATTATGGATATCTTGATTGTTTGCTATTACTTTTTCTTTAGTGCTGTACCAATCCTTTTCCCAATTTCTTTTCATATGAAAAAGAAAAAAAATCTCTGCTGGAGCTTTTGTAGAGAGCCTATGCTAAATAAATTAGTCTGCCTTTCTAAGCTACTGCCTACTCGGCCAATGACTTTTAGAACTTAAAAAGGTTTTGGGCAAGCCTTTTTTTATTGTCTTGCTAGCTTTATACATGGACTTATTACTTATGATAAGCATTAACTGTTATGTCAAGTATGTCATATTTGGATGTTGACTTCACAATGCTTTATCTTTAATATGGCTCTTTTTAGGGCCCTTAATTTGGTCTTCTTTCCCCTTTGCATTGCTGCATTGATTCTTGTTAAAATATCTTTGACTGTTACATATTAATTGTAGCATTTGCAAGTAAAGAAACATACTTAGTAATATGGCACATTTTGGCTTTTTCATATGAACAACTGTCTAATCATGTTCTTAATGTTTCGAAGGTTTAAACTTTCGTCATACTCTGTACCCTTCATACAAGAGCAACCGCCCTCCTACACCTGATACCATAGTGCAGGGACTTCAATATTTGAAGGCATCCGTCAAAGCTATGTCCATTAAAGTGATCGAGGTAAATGATTAGACACTAAAGATGCTTATGATTTGGTTGATCGATGTGGTGTATAGCAAGTAATTAAGAATTTAGTCTAAGACAGGTACCTGGGGTAGAAGCTGATGATGTGATTGGAACACTGGCTGCAAGGAGTGTTGATGCTGGGTTTAAGGTAATTATCTTAAGTTTCTTTGGGAAAACATGAGCTTGCCTGTTGATGTGGTTATTGGACTTTTGTCTTTGTTGGGAGCAAAGAGTTTTCACCAGGTTAAAATTATTGCCTTCTAATATGACAATTTGTAGCTCAATTTATTGGGTATTATCACATGAAAAAATGGAAAAGTTACATGGAACTATCGTCAGATTTTACCATTTAGCATTTATTAATAAGAATAATAAGGAAAAGGAGCTTACTATTTCAAAATTAGCAGCCCAATTCATCTCATGTGCTTTTCTTACATTAATTAGGGAAAGGCATCAAGTTACCTCGTGCTGGAGCTATTTTGAGAGTTAACTCTTTCAAAAGTTTGAAAGTGGTCTGAATTTTCTCTTTTTGACTTTTTGTTTGCTTGATAGTTATTTAGGTAGGTGTTCCTCTGTTATCTGCTTATGCTGGAGGTATGTTAATTGAATAATCAGTGATGTTTTAGTCAGTTTCATGGGTGAAACCCAACTTTTTGAATTACATTCATGATTTTAAATTAAAAAATTAAGCTTTTTAAACAAATTCTTGCAGTTGTATAATTAATTAATTAATTAATGTGCATTAAGCAGTAATTTTTAAAATGGCTAAAATGATTAAGGAGGCAATAACAATGACAAAATTTTTCTGCTTCTAAAAGTTCTCTGTCCGACTATATGTGAGAGAAAGAGCCAAGGCTTAGTGATAGAAGAGACAAAACCAAAATATTGAAGCAATTGAATGGAAGAAAGGAGTTCTCTTTTTTCTCCTTTGCAAACTCTTGTTCTTGAGTACACATGTAACATACCCCTAATAATTCCCATAAAAAAAAAGAAAAGAAATAAGTGGATGTGAATTATGTAAACAAACTACAATTTGAAGAGTACCATTTGTTGAGGCTAAATTTAAAGGGTGAAAGACAAAGTAACTCATTATAGGAAGAAATTTAAAAGAAAAAGATCTAGAAAAAACAAATCGGTATAAACTATGATTTTCTTTTTTCTGGATCAAATTTCAGCCAATGAATTTTCCACTTGGGGGGATGGGTGGGTGATGGAAGTTTCGCTACTATTGCCATATATAAGGTTGGGGGGAGGGGTGATGGTTTAAGGCTCCTGTCCCCCTAGTAATGTCTCCCCGATTGCTTTCAACTTATTTTCTCTCACTGTCCATCATTGATATACTGTACTTGGTTGCAAGAAGCAACTATGCCAGTCCTTACTCAACATAATAATACCTTTTGTTAAAATGCATATCTTTAGCTTGCTTTATGAAGTTCGATGTTGAAGCTGCTGACACTGACAGTGGATACTCAAGAAAATTATATGTGAAAAATGTATTGAGGAAGAATTTTGTGCGCATTGTCTATAGTGGCCAGGAATCT